TGTGAAGACTTTGTGTTGTGAAGTTTATACCAAATAGTTCAAGTACACACTGATAACCTGGGGGAGTTTCATGTGAAACAGAGATAAATAGATTGCTTGAGCCATGAGAAAGCTGCAGGCACTGGAACAGGCAGTGGTCACATCAATAAACAGTAAATGAGTTTATCTTGGGCCAGGGAGATGAAATGTGGGCCAAGACACTCCGGATTTGGTGTCATGGAGGTTCCCTGGTGATGTGTGTTATCTTGCCTAGTGTGGTTCCTGTTAATAATGAAACTCTTGCTGGTGGTGGGTAGAGCTGTCAAAGCTCCACTGAAGCTTGGGATAGAAGAGTTTGGCTTTAATTAATTGGTTTGTGGTGACTGTCAGTCACATAAAATACAGCCAGTATGTTAATGCTTCAAAAGAAGTCCAGAAAACCCTCAAAGTGATTTGATACTGTAGGTGGAAAGCTGTAGCAGCTTTGCCTTCTGGTATTGTTTTAGATAATTATTTTAGAAGGCAAAGCTGCTGCTTTCTACCTACAGTTTTTGGTTTGAGAATTTCAAATAGGAGCAAATTAGTAGCAAACAATGTTTTTAATGAGGAAAATGTTGTTTAAGTGATAGAAAGTTGCTAGGCTTCGTAGCTAGTAAAGAATGAAAAAAGTAATGATTTTATGTTTAACTGGACACAGAGCTTTTGTTAGCTACGTTCGTATTCCTTACAGGTCATTTACATTAAACTCTGTAGAGCTCCAGGAGTAAAAGTTTGTGACTAAAGTTGTAGTCTTCCTGTTTGGCCAGCTTTTTTACAAATCTACGGGATGTCTTGCTTTGCCATTTTCTCATGTGGGTAAATGTTTGAGATTTTGACTGCCAGTCTTCAGCAGAACTTTACAACCTTCAGACAGAATACTCCATTAACCGTTGTAGCACGAGGTCTATCTTGCTTTGCTGTGATACTCATGTAAAGAAATTGTTGGGGGGAAACTTAGTACCCATATATCTGAAATGGCTGAGAATTTTTGGAAGGTTTGAACCCCAGATTTCTGTGACCACCCTCGAAATTATATCATTTGACAGTGTTTTGTATGGGGAAAAATAACAATGCTCCTAATCTATAGTCACATAGAATTGAGTAGAATAAACGGGGAATTGTTTGGATAGCTGTTGACATTCATATTGCAACAACTTTTTTTTTCCTCAAGTATGAGCTTTTTTGAGAACGTGTTCAGTCTTTCACTCTAGAAATTGTTTCAAATGGGGGGAAGACCACCTGTATTGTACCCATGAATTGATTAGTGTTTGGGAGCTGGGCAAGGCTGGTGCATACAGCAATGCTTTCTGCCCTGTGTCTCTAATTTGAACTTTTCTTCTAAAATTAAGCAATTAAACAAGCAAGAGATATTAAGGCAACTTACTGAGAATGTGTTGACAGTATTTCAATTTTTTATGCTAGTTGTATGAATTAAAAAAGCTCTCTGCTTTGGCATGCCCAGTAATCTGCATACAAGTGATGAGTTCAGTGTAAGGTAAGTGGGTGCAGCCTTCTGGCAGAAGCTCTTTTGTTTAACAGAAACTGGTATATTCAATGTGGCGTGTCAAAAATGCAGAGTAATAGCAGTAATTAAGTGGAGGTGCATTTACAGACAATTGTAGCCTTTTCTGACTTGCAGTTCTGCTGCAGGAGGAGATAGAAGAGGGTAACAGTGGTTTTGGCTTACAGATTTGTGTTTCCTTTCTGCAGTTTTAACATCTTTTGGAAATATTCTGGGCCGTGAAGGAGGTTTTTGATGGGACCTCCTGAGTTAAGAGTCTGAACACAAGCCCTTTAAAGCTTGATCCTTTCTGTTCTCCAGGCTGTGCACACACTGCAGGAGGGCAGCAGTTCTGCCTGCCAGCTGCCCAGTGCTAACCTTGACTCGCTCAGTGCTAACCTTGACCCTGTGCTTCCTGTGGTCAATGTGAAGTGGCTTCGTCCTTTTTTCACCCCTAAGTGGATAAGCCACATTAACTGGTTTACATCCGTTGCGTGATGCACCAGGTTAAAAGGGATTGTGCAGGTAGATGTTGTGGGTCTTTTTTTCATGTGGCAAAGCCTTTTGTATAGCAAGGATATTAAAGTTTTCAGTTATTAATAAATTAGTAATATAAAATTTGCATATGCGGGAATAAACTTCAGCTTTCTCAGTAAATTGTTAAATATGAGAATATTATCTGTCAACACCTGTGAAAGTGCTCAAAAAGACTGAGTGCTTTGCTATTTATTATTTTTGGTTTGCAATGGTTGTCTTTCTGAATAAAGAGAGTATTCATTTATTTTTGTTTTGGTGCTGAAATTCTGAAGCTGTGCTGTCACTTGAGGGTTCTTTTTGTGGAGGTTGTTCTTGGAGGTTTTTATGAGGAAAAACAGAGGAAATGACTGGATTTTGTTGCAGAATTAGAATGCTTTGTAATATTCTGAGTTTCAAAGAATCAGTTAGGAGACTGTTATCTACCAGTGAGCATTATGTAAAAATAACTACTTTGACATGAATATTTAATTTTTTAGTGTGCTTGTTTAAAGCAGCTCTTTGGAAAATGTTGGAAACGTATCCAGCTATGTTAACCTTGAGGTCTGCTTTGTAATTCACTGACTCCCATAGCAGCCATTCCACTGTAACCACGTCGGTGGTTCTCAGCTCTGTATTACTTCTTGTACTGCCAGCGCTGGACATTTTCAACATGGGAGTGAGAGGAAAAAAGAAGGAATTTAAAAACTAGCTCAGAAAAAGTGTAAAGGCACTTGAATTGGGGCTTAGAATAAGGGTGCACTAGTTTAGTGACGTGATTCATAGAATTCTGGACGTTGGTTTGTATGCCCCAAGGCTGGAAGAGCCAATGAGTTTGCTGAGATGCCAGATTTCATCCCATGTCCCAGGACATTCCTATCTTGGCAAAATGACGTGTTTTGCACCCTTGTCTTGCTTCAGCCTCTTTGGGGGTCACAAATGAGACTTCCCTGTGCTGTATCCATCGCAGGGACCCAGTCCAGGTAGAAATCAAGAGGCAGCAGGATTTCTGCCTTGTAATTCTTACATAGTATTAAGATTTTGAAATATGTTATTCGACATGCTTTTCCTGCAAATGGATCTGTTCATATTATGTTAAACTAAACATGATTTACAGAATTATGTTATGCATTGGTAATTCGCTGAGAATCTTAACATTTCATTGTACAAAAGAAGGTTGGAACAAATTACTGCTTGCCTGAATATTTAATGAGTGAAATACCAATGATCAGTGAACAAGGTATTTTGTGATCTTTCAACCCAGTGCGTATTCTTCTCTTGAAAAACAATTTCAAGTATCTGTAGGATAATTTTGTTGTATACAGGTGTTTGTAAACAATTTTCTGTCTCAAGACGTTTTAAAAATTGTATCTTAAAATATCCAGTAACATTTAATTGTACCATGAAAAGAGAGGAGGAGCTGGAAATTTAAATATGGCTTTGTGCTACTTTGTGATTCCCTTTTATTACTTATATTGTCATTGATGCTATAGTATAATAAAATTAGAGTCTATTCTTCCTTTTATCTGAGAAAATTGTTTACTTATTTTTCCACCCACTGCTGAGAAGTGATAAGATTGAATAATGATTCTAGTCAAGTTGGAAGTCTGGACTTCAACATTGATTGTAATCTGTGAGGGAGTACCTTAAAATTTTTTTCATATCCAGATATGAGTTTGTAAGGAAATTGTTCGAAAAATTGTATTTTTACCTGGATAACCCATTTTTAAGAAATGTTGGCCATGGTGTCAAGGTGTGGTACTTTGAAAGCATGTTGAGATAGAAATTAGATGCAAGTTGGGCACAGTTACTTTAACGACTACATATTTATGATTTTTTAAAATTGTAGAATATGGGAGGTTTGTTTGTTTTGTTTTTTAAGAACAAGTGTTGAGGTGTGTTGATGCAGTTGGGACAGTTATTAATTGTTCTCTGGAAACGTAAGCTCAAGGTTCAGATGTCAGGTGCTTTGTATGTGTGAATGAGGAGCCTGACACTGAGACGTGGCAATGTCTCTTCTAGTTTAATCACATTATGTGTGAGTCGAAAAAATACATTTACTATGACTTTTCTTAACTTTGTAGTTGTTTTTTAGGTAGTAATGCATGTGATTTTTGTGGCTAAAGTATTTGTGTTTATGGGATCTAGGTCTTAATCCACAGCAGCATGATGGTGAGAATCCAATCTCATTTTATGGTATTAGGAAGAGGAGGCTAATTGTTCTTTTCATTTTGGGGAAGGCGTTTGCCTTCATGCCTCCTGTGGAACTAGGAATAAACACAATCAAGATGTTGAATTACATCAGTTCTGTTAGCTACAACGGGGAAAGAGGGCAGCACCTGACTTTGGAGAGTAAGATTTTTTATTTTTTTTTTAAATAAAGGTTTTAGCAGTCTTAAATAGTGTTAAGTGAAGCAGTAAGTATTTAACTGAAATGAAATGGCAACTGGAATACCTTTGCTAAAACACATAAAGAAACACAGATTGTAATTTATTGTAAGAAAATATTCAATTTATAGAATCTACAGTATGTAGATGCCTGAAGGTCTTTTGAGTTAGTGTTTGTTAAATATAATAAACTTGTATACAAATGTAAGTTGATGGGTTTGCGAGAGAACTGGCACTGTCAGAGAAATCCCGTGGGATGTTGGTCCCAATGACCTGACACCGTGCTGTCTGGAGAGAACCCAGCGAGCTCGGAGGCGTTCAGAAGCATCTCAAGTAGCATGCATCTGGTAATGTGCTGCTTCTCTCGGATCCATTGTGTTCCGTCTCAGTACCAGTGGTGGTCTGGGTGCTGAAGATGCTTTATTCTTGATGAGTCAATCTCTGCTGTCTCTCCATAGCATTGCGGTGTGCTGTGGACAGATAACTCTTTCCATGGCATGGCAGATTGGAAAGTTTTATGTCATGTTTGTTGAACATCAAAGATGTGTTCATAACCTATTTCCGTTTTGCAACAAATCAGGTGAGGAGCCAGGAGGGGTAGCCAAGAAAAAAACTAAAGTCAAAGGTATTTTTTACGTTCTTTTTGTTGTGGAACTTTATGCAGCTAATGATGTCTGAAATGCATGCACATTGTGAATACGGATCGCAGGTTATAATCCTGTTTACTAACAGTAGCTGTGTCGGCTAAGTGTTGTCTGATGGTGCGGCAAACTATTCTCCTCCCCAGTTTTCAGTAAGATTTCTTTAATACCGATTGTAATTTAATGCCAATGTGAGCGCTTTCCTAACTAGAGATTATATTCTGTTTGTGCAGATTGTTTTACAACAGTTGGCTTGTTTGGATTAGAAGTAATTTATGTTAACTTCATATTCTGCATGTTTAAAAACAAGTTCTGATATATGTGCACATTTTGCTGTGTGTGAAATCCTCCTTTGGCTATGTTTGGTTAATTCATGAGCTATTGCTATATTGCAATTGGACTGAGGGCCTTAATTTATATTTAGGTCTGTGCTTAAATAGTTTCATCTGTTTCTTTCTGGGAGGGGAAATTTAGTTAAAGTTCAGTAACTTCCCCTTTGATATTTTTTGCAGGATTGATTGCAGTGCTGATACTTAAAATCCTTCAAAAGCTTAAAGTAGGGTAGCTTGCAGCCAGTTTCTGCCCTGTGTTTATTTATAATGACATTGCTATGAACAGGACACAATGGCCTAATGTGTTCAGTGCAAGGGAGAGACTAACGAAAGCTCCTCAGCCTCAGGAAAGCACCCGACTGCCAGACATGCTTCAGGTGCTGCACTTTTCAGATGTGCTCAGTTATCCCCGCCCAGCGCGGTGCTGTGTGAAGAACACGGTCTCTTTGTTGCATTAAGGACACGTAGACTTCAGTGTGTTTTTTCTATCAGTGTGTGAAAAGCACACGCTGTTTGTGATACAGTCTCCTTAGGAGAAAGCGCGTTTGCTGAGGGACGCTCTCATGTTGATGTGAATGTGACTTTTCCCAGCATCTTGCATGCCAGTTTAGTTTTTCAGCTTTTGTTCCACCTTGTGCTTGGTATGACTTGGTTGCAAAAATGTAATAAATATAATTTAACACTTCGTTCCCGAGTTTTGGATTATTTTTCCATGTTTGATATGAGAATGAAGAAATGGTATGATTTATTTCAAATGCTTTATGCCAAAGAACAGTTGGAAGGAAACGTGGTGTGACTTCTTTCAGACGGAGCTGTGTGGTGGCAGTCTGAACTCCGCAGAGCTGTTACACAGCGGTGCAAGGCAGACGGTACCGGACAGATGTTGTCCCTTGCCTGCTCTTTGCCTCAACAGCCTGCAGTTTCTATCAAAAGTCTAAATAAAAATAGCTGTTGTATTTTGTATATAAAATTTTTATTACTTCTTAATAATGTGGGAGTATTAATTTTAAAATTAAATACAAATATTGCATACAGAGATTTAATGAAAAAGTTTCTAAATTCTCTTGAGTTCAAAATCCTCATTCTGGAGACTGCTGCTGGTACTGACAATTTGTTTCTAAACTGTGGCCAAAGTGAAAGTAAATCTTGAACATTGCAATGTCAAGAATTCTGTTCTGACATGTTACCTAGATACCATGTCACAGCCAATTGTGAATAGAAGTAGAGAAAATAAGCATAAAAGTTACAACTCCAAAAGCAAAATAAATAAAAAGTATTGCTAATAACACTACATAACATAACGCAAAGATTTAAGAATTCAGATTAATTACAGCCATTACTTTGATTTCGCTGAATATAGTCAAGCCAAGTTGACTTTCTTGGAGCTGATTTAATTCACCAGGATATTGCTGGTTTTTATTGTGGCCTTATTTCTTCTTTTTGTGAAATATATACTTCAAATGAATTCTTACGTCATGGCTTAATCTGAGGTGACAATGTCAGTAAAATGCTGTAGCACACATTTGTGTTGGTATAACGCTTCCAGTGGTAGTTTTGGAAAGTTGAGAAAATTGTGAAAAAAATCATTTTAGTGACACTCTTGAGGTTTCTAGATCCGACAGCGTTCACACAATTGTCAAAGATTCCCAGTTTGCTGTGGTTTCCATGCTCACAGATAAGCTGTCTGTAGAATCCTGCAGCAGTTGCTGAGCAGTCGGGTAACAGAGGCGTGGTGGTCCCTGGCCCAGGGCAGCGAGCTAAGGGCATGGCTGGCTGCATGCTGCGGGGTGCTGCTGAAAGCCAACACGAATGGGTTTAAATTGGCATCTAACAAACATTAAGAATTAGATCCAAGCTATTAGATAGTTGTTCATGTTTTCTGATCTAAGAATAGTTCTCTTATTGAACATTTCCTCTTTTTTAACCGAAAAACTAAAAAGTAAAAGAAGCTGTCAAAGAACCGCTCAAGAAATTAAGGGAGAAGCAGGAACCCAAGAAGGAGGAAATCAAAGATGAGGAAGAAAAAAAGAAAGCCAGGAAAGGAAAAGATGCTACAGATCGAAAGGACAAGAAAGCTGTTGACGTGAATAAAGTAAAGAAAGATCCTGACAAGGCTAAAAGAGACAGAGGGAAGGAAAAGGAAAAAGGCCTAGAGAAAAATGTAAAGTCCAAGGAGACTACCAAAAAATCAGCAAATGGAAAGGATGGTGCTATTCAGGTGGGAAAAGACAAAGAAACAAAAAAGGTAGTTAAAAACCCATCCAAGGAAGAGAAGAAAGAAAAGAAATAACCAGAGTTCCTGTTCTGCTAATGAGGAACAGACCTCGTGAGTGAGAAATTCGGCGTATTGATATGAACGGGGGAATGTGTCCAGAAGAAGAGAACGTTGGCTGGAAATGAGTGAGAACAAAGGCTAGATATGATAATTGTTTGAAAACTGTTAAGCTTGTGCTGGCATTGTAAACGCAAAGCAAAAGTTTGCTGTGAAGCTCAGCTATGTCCGTATGTTAATGTGACGGGCTGTCAGTGGATTGAGCACTGAGATCTCGGCTTGGTGCCAGTTCCTTCAGACATGCTCGACATCGGGGTGGGGGCGGGGGCTCCTCGTGGGAAAATGACATTTTCTTGGTGTGAGGGTGAAAGTGTAATGTTGTATATCGCATGCAAGTTCAAACACAATATTAAGAGGGTTATCTGGATACTGATAGTGGAAACCCACAGGAAATATTTCTGTTTCACAACAACAACCAAGAGGAGCATTAATGGGATGTGTTGTCATAATTGTCATAGGAACTGAGCAAATAAATGTAAATTATTCTCTGCTAACCTTGTTTCCCCTGAGTAGCCTGAGAAATCTGTTTTGTACACAAACACTCAAACCAGCTCAAGTGTTGCATTTATTTATGGGACTTCAGTGTACACTCGTCAAAGTGGTGCAACACTTCTGTTTGTTGATCCTATGGCAATATGTGCTGCTTTGCTTCCTCCCTTTTTCAATTTATTTTTTAGTTATCTTTAGGCCTGAAAACTTTTTTTCACTGTCACTTTTCAGTTAACTGTGTCCTGATTTTTGAGTTTTCCAGGCTCCTAGCAATGAATCCTTTAGAAGTGAGGCCCCCTGTTCCACCACTGATGGGGTTGTTGGGTTCCAGTCGCATTTTAAGCAGTGATCTGCTGCTGCTGCTGTCTTCTGCTTGAACTTGATTAGAGAATAGCTTCTGTATTTTTGCAACTATTATTTTCTCCAAACAGCAGTTTTCAAGTAACGAATACTTCTGTATGCAAGATCCTGCCTTAGTTTGCTCTCATAGCTTCTGTATTTTTCACATCGAGGAATGATTTATCCAACAGTCTCATGAGAATAAACACAGTTACAAAACATTTCTGCAGAGATATTTGCTTTCAGGTTTTTATGGGAAAGGAGTATTTCCTAATTTTAACAGATGAGTAGTATCGCTTAGTATATTGAAATATTAATTGCATAATGAAATTACACAAGATTCAGAACAAAATTTGCAATGAAACTTGGAGATTTATTGTTTTTATACTGCAGTATTTTAAAGAAAACAGAAATAGGGAGTGAAACTGAGCATGAGTACGTGCATGTGGGTGGGGGTGTAAGATTAAAGCCCTAAAGGTTGATTCTGTTCATAGTTTTCCTTAAATTTTATGTGTAACAGTTGGCATTACACTTGTCTCAGACTTTCAGTACGGCACGTATGTGTCTCTCTAAGATACTTTTGTCCCTAGAGGTATAAAATGTCATAATAGCATAAGATATAATCTGATTTTTCTTTTAAAGGAAATTTACGAAAAATAGTTCAAATGGAAGCTGTAGAAAATAGTATGGTAGCCTGAGAGTCTAGCTGTGATAATTAACAGAGATCATATACCAAGCTATTTCATAATTATTTATATTTGTGTGTGAAGAAGGAGGCAAAGGTGTATGTGTGTGTGTTATGAACATTATAGTTCATTATTTTCTTCCCTAAGAAGTTTTGACTCTCTGGAAGTGAAGTGTGGAAGGAGTTGCCTTTCTGATTAACATATTATTGCATTTATGACCCAAAGTTTATCTGGTTCTAAAAAAGTTTGGTTGTGGGGTTTTTTTTCACCCCCAAAGAGCATTTTATTTGCACAGTGCTCCAGGCTATACGAATAGCCACACAATAAAACGAGATTGTGCGCCAGAGCTCTGTTGTGCTGTTGTATATCTCTGTGAAATGTTATTGTCATTCCACTTAACGCGGAGAGCTACGGCATAAGCTCAAAAAATGCACCACACAGGTAAAAACTGAGTACAATTGTTTTTAATAAAAAGGTGAGAGAAAATAGCATCTTGCTAAAAGTGAATTACTTAACATGTTGCATACTAACAGGATTGAACAGCAATTAGTGATAAACACATGATAGATGTGTATGAAAAGCTTGAAAGCAAAGCTGAGAACCGTGCAAGCAAACCAAAGAAATACTCTTGCTAGTCCCTTCTTTCCTTTTGCACACCCGAAGTGATTGTTGGCTGGGAAACATTGGCTGTCTTTCGAAATCCTGTGGGTCCATTTATTGTTCCTGAAGCAGAGCCAGTGGTTGTCTGGCACTGGAGATGTGGGCTATGGGATGGTAGGAAGAGTTATTCAACGGTGTGTATGTAAGGGAGGTGAGCTGTGTTTGGAAAGCAGGGCTCCCAGATTCTCACGCGTGGGACAGTGGCTGCTGTCCCCAAGTGGGTTTGTCTCCATATGTAGCTGAGGATGACTGGAGAAGGAAGTCACTCCTTACCCTGGCAGCCATTGGTATTAGTGCAGCAAGAGATGAATGTGAGTCTTAATAGTGTTTTTAGTATTTCAGGGGTTTTTTAATGGCACGGAACAAAACTGGCAAAAAATTAAGTGTAAATTGGGCTTTTTTTCTTCTAGCTTCTGACCTTGCCTCCATAGCAGTGGACTCTTAGTTACCGTACTTTTAGATACAGTGCAACTCCTTGTCTTCATGTAATTTAAATACTTTAAAAGGTGTAGGTAGAAGTAATTCTGTTATTCCTGTTCCCATCACTTAGGGTGATGGAGTAAATATATATATATATATATATA